GTAGACCTAGATTAGATTACTGTTCGCAAATAGTTAAGGATGTGGGCTGTTCTAGTTTTGGGGAAATGCGAAGTTTAGCTCAGGATAGGAAAGAGTGGAGGTACGTGTCCAACCAGTCTTAGGACTGATGACCTTATGATGATGATGATTGAATTTTGTAATAAATATTTTTGGAATCCTTTTAGATATTCGATATTAGATTTGCATTCTTAACGACACTTGCAGGGGCATCCAGTCGGCTTTTAAAGCTTTGTTTCCTATTACTTTGATCTGTTTTTCGGCCTGACCTTTCCACCCGGACTTTATCAAAGTTTTCCGACGTTTCGTTCGTCAATACACGATATATCTTCGAAACTCGGTTTATCTATTACATGTAATAAATTGATCGTACCTAATCGTGACGAAGACTTTTGATATTGTGGACGGAACGCCGACAACTCTGAAAAAATGACGCTGCTCTTATTTAGAAACTAAGAAACTATAAAACATTTCATCGTTACACATCAAATAAATTCGTGCTTATATCACTTGCTGTAACAGCCAAAATTTCGAAATATTGAGATTTATTGGTCTATTTGCCAAACACTGTCAATAAAAGTAAGAATTAGCAATCAGTAATATAAATATTCCCAAATTTATCGTAGCATTTACGGTGATGTCAATTTAAATCATATTCATGTTTCGTGCTTTTATGGATAGTGTCTGGTGATAGGTACCTACCAAATAAATAAAAAAAAAAAGAATTTTCGTGCGGGGAATAAAGATAGAAAGATTTCCGAAAATTTATCCTTTTTTGTGGTTTTTAACTGAATTCGAAAAGTTCTAATGGATATACGTGCCGTGGAAACTATTACTCGGAGTCAAAATCAGGAGTAATGGTTTTTTGTAAATATTCCATTAACGGTTGCTTTTATCAAAAAAAAAAAATAGTTATCGAATTTGTCACTTGGAAAATTTCCTACCGACATGCTACTGTTTTTCGTAAAACTAACGGTTTTTGTGAAAAATCGATTCAAATAGTTGTATGACTCGTGCACTGTATAATATGCGAGGTCTGTTCAAAAAGTACCGCGAATTTTCTGGTTTTTTTCAAAAATTATTTATTTATTCATGAATATCTATTTTTTGCTCTTTAAAGTAATCCCCAATAGATATTATGCATTTGTGTCAACGTTTTTTCCAATCCTAGAAGCACTTCAAAAAATAATTTTTTGTGATCTTGTTCAGCTCCTCCTATCGATGCCTTCTTTATCTCCTCAATCGTAGCGTAGCGTCGTTCTTTCATGGGCTTCTTCAGTTTTCTCCAATAGCTCCTTAGCAATGTTAATACGATGCTGTTTTTGGTCGAACTTGAGCAATTTTGCTACTAATTTCGCGGCGACCCGTCTCATTCCGAAATCATTGGTAAAAAATGAATGGAAGGAGCCAGTCTATATGTTTAGATCCTCACCTAGTTCTCTAACGGTGATTCGATGATTGGCCAATGCTATTTTCTTTTCTTCATCAATATTTTTGACGTGCTTGAGCGTCCGGCACGCTCTTCGTCGTCCACATCTTCTCAGCCCTCTGAGAAAATTTTGTACCGCCGATATCGATATAAGTGAGAGACATGAGTACCAACATAACACCACAAAATTCGCGATACTTTTTGAACAGACCTCGTACATATGTCACTTCATTTGTTTAATGGTGTTATAATGACGAGTGTACTAAAGATGTTCTTAGTTTAACCATAAATACTGCCATAAAGAGGATTTCGTGTAGCACAATGTGGTAACATTGGAACATAAGCGAAAAAGACCATCTTAATCGATGAGAAAATGCTTACGATAAATGAAAAATATCGATACCAGGATAATTTTTATTCATTTTTGAGTAGTTGGTGTACAGCGGTCTACCAAAATGCAGTTTTTTTTAGAATAGGTTGTTGATCTTTTAAATGACACTTTGTTCAATGAACTTCATTAGGGTTTTTAGCAATCCAAATCAACTCAGAAGTGACTTCAAGACAATGTTCCCGGGTTCATAACAGCTTCAGAATGGCCCTCCGGCAGTCCTCATTTGAACCTTTAAGATTACTAACTATGGAATACTCTCGAAAAAATGGACTGTCGGAAACGTCATAAAAATTTGGAATTCCTAAAAATTCCAGATTGGGTGCATACATGCATTTACCGGTGGCCGGAGTGTTGTATCACTGTGAATAGTCAGTAAAGGCGATTATATGATTTTAAGCAGAATTGTTTGTACTATTTAATTAATTTGTTTTTTGAGTTTGCATCATGAGTTGTTTTTCCGGTACATTCCTTCAATGTACTGACAGTATTTATGACTAGATCCATCGTGTTTCTTGAATCAAACTGTGAAATACGAGGAAGGAAAGAAAAGGAGGAAGAAAATAATGAAAAGGTGCAGATGGAAATTGAATTGGAGTCTGAAGAAGAACCATGATAATAAATAATTGTCCTGTATTATTAATTGCGACTGAAGCAAAGGCGAGTGAGGCAACTCTCGGGACCGAGGTCTATATACTATTGTTTGCCATATCCTTATCGAATGTGCGATAATTTTTCCTTACTTCAAGGACAAAAGCGCAACATATCCTCCCAGGTAAAAAAACCCTTTACTGTTTATTAGGAATTGATTTTACCATCAACCATGTGGACATTGGTACTCGGTTCAGGTGATGGGAGATTATGTTGCTCTTTTCTGAAGTCGGGAAAAATCATTGTACTTTCGATAGGAATATGGTGAATAATCGATTATTTAACAATTTTATAAGAAATTTGTTATTAATACAAGCATTTCTAAAGGAAACAAAATTCATAATACCTAATAAAAATAAAATAATATTAGTCATGCTGAAATAAAAACAAAAATTATTCATTATTATTTTTTATAACCATTCTTTAAATAAATAAAACTTAAAATTTTATATATTTAGCCGTGGATAGAGCAGGTTAGAAATGAAGAGATATTAGAAGTAATAGGAGAACAAAGGACTCTATGGAAGTTAATAAAAAATAGACAAGATATGTTGGTAGGACACCTTCTAAGGCGTAAAAGTCTAGTCAGACATATGAGAGGCAGAAACAGGAATTAAAAGGAAGTAGAGGTAGACCTAGATTAGATTACTGTTCGGAAGGAGTGGAGGTGCGTTTCCAAACAGCCTTAGGACTGACGACCTTATGATGATGATGATATTTAGCTACCTAAAAAGTGGTGTGGAAAGGCGTGCACGTATTATGAGAAACGTTGAAAGTTTTTAAATACAATTTTCTTAAAAACCGTCAGACTTACGAAAAAAAAAATTGGTTATGTCTTAAGCTACAAATTCGACAACCACTATTTTTTTTTATAAAAGTAACCATTAACGAGTAACATTTTCAGCGGCGAACGTACCGAAGAGCACTTTTGAGTATGTTTAGAATAGAACTACAAAAGGAAGGTTCAGCAAAAATCCAGCCTCACCCTACGCTTTTGTTGTGCAGTGTCTCTATTCCCCATGTTACGAAGTGATAAAAGCTGATGTTATTTGAATGGCTTCCCTTCAAAACCATTCTTTTTAGTAATTTAAAAAATTAATTTAATTTTTATCCAGTAAAAGTTATCTCAAATTAACGACGAAGAATTGTTGATGATGTCACACCCTCGCCGGGAATTGAACCCAGGATCTTTGGCTTTACACGCTAAGATACGAGAGGTGACAAAATCTCGGCTTCGATTCCATGCAAGGGTGTGACGGCAGCAACAATTTTTCCTCATTAATTTGAGAGTTAAGTGAGTTTTCACATTAATATTAAATATTAACTATGATTGTAACTTTATTAAGGAATTCTATATCCGATCGCAGGAAGTTTCGACAGAACACAGACCAACTGTACTTGCTGCCTCGTACCACAAACGGCAAGATGAACGCCATCTGTGGTTCAGTGCAGATATAGTGAAAATCAGTATATTCAATTTATGTTGATGGATATCTACTTGCTGTATGATCGAGCAGCATGGCCTAGAGGTTTAGACCACTGCTTAGTATTCAGGAGGACGCCGGTTCGATTCCGGGTCCGTCTGCCTTGATCGAAGTTTTTCTGTGGTTTCCTTGGATCGCTTAGGCAAATGCTGGGGCAGTAATATTCCACAGATTATCTTTCATTCTTTTCTGTCTTCATTTCGTCCGTCTCAACTTTCTCACCCGAACCACCACCCACCCATTTCCACGATTCCTGAA